AAGGTTGGATATGGAGAACTAGGGGATAGATGTATCAAATTTTCGTATAGCCTGTAGAGCACTAAGGGAGTCTGAGACTACTACAAATGATGACAGCAGGCATAGATGCGATACGAATAAGTGCTGCAAGAATGCATACAGTTCAGCAGTAAAAATCTTAGCTGAAGATAGTAAATGTCCCCGCACGACGCTGTCCGGAACACTGCTGCGAATCCGGACGCCGTCTGAAGACTTAGAGCCATCTGTGTACACAGCGGTGGCATGAGAATGGGAGTGGAAGTGATCAAGAAAAGAGAGCGGGAAGCACCGTAGGCAGTTGAGCTTTCGAGCAAGGGAGTGAGAAAGAACAGACCCGAACAGCTGGAACTTCCCAGGGGGGTAGGGAAAAGTGAGATGCTACATGAACATATAAGGTGGTAACTGAAGGGAAGACAAGAGTGAATGTAGGCGAAGAGAAAAGGGACGGAGCAACAGGGGCGGCGAACGAATAAAGAATGTCTACTAATATCGGTGACCATTCTATAAATGAAGGATTGTGTAGATCGTGAGAGCGTACATAGTAGCGAAGGCAATGGGCATCACGGCGATCAGACAAGGATGGAACATTCGCTTCTGTATAGAGGCTCTCAACAGGGGAAGAGCGAAAAGCACCAAGGCACAAACGTAATCCTTGGTGATGGATAGAGTTTAAGGCTAGAGAGAGTAGCAGGAGAGGCGCGGAATAAATCTGGTCACCATAATCGAGTTTCGATAAAACGAGGGCTGAATGTAGGCGAAGCAGAGTTCGACGATCAGCTCCCCAGGAAAGATGAGCAAGGGTTTTAAGAAGGTTTTAGCCGGCTGTGACAAGTTGTCTTCAGAGAGGTTATGTGAGGTTTCCAGGATAACTGACGGTCAAAGAGAAGGCCTAGAAACCTGACTGTATCACGTTGGGGATACGGGAGCCGATAGAGATACAAAGGATGATCGGAGATAAACAGAGCGCTAGTGAAAGTAATTTGGGAGTTTTGGTACTTGAAAATTTAAACCCATGCGTGGTGGCCCAAGTGGAAACACGGTCGACCGCATGCTGGAGAGAAACTGCAATAAGATGACAGTCAGCGCCTGCACAAGCAATAGCGAAGTCATCAACATAAGAGTGATGACCAAATATTGGGTGGAAGAACAGAGGCCAAATCATTTATAGCAAGGAGGAAAAAGTGTTGTGCTTAGAACACATCCTGAGGGAACACCTTCAGCTTGGACGAAGTCGGGAAAGAACATTATTGACTCGAACACGGAAATGTCTGTCATTTAAAAAAAGTTCTTAAGGAAGGATGGTAGATTGCCTCGGAGGCCTAAGGAATGGGCCTGGGCCAAAATAATATACCTCCAAGTTGTGTCATATGCCTTCTCAAGGTCAAAAAATATGGCAATAACCGAGTGATTATTCGCAAAGGCATTACGAACATACGTATCCAAGCGTAGTAAGGGGTCTATGGTAGAACGACCCTTACGAAAGCCATATTGACTAGCGGAGAGACTGTTGTGTGTCTCTAAATACCACATTAAACGTCGATTTACGAGACGGTCCATCACTTTGCAAACTGCACTAGTAAGAGCGATGGTGGGAGGCATCATGTCCTGTAGTACCCGGTTTGTGGAAAGGGAGAACAATGGCAGATTTCCACAGCTGGGGAAGAACTCCTTGTGCCCAAATAAGATTGAAGAGGTGTAAGAGGACTACAAGGGCTGACCGATGTAAATGTTGTAACATACAAATATGAATGTCGTCAGGCCCAGCTGCCGATGATCGGCAAGCTGAGAGCGTTGCCTCCAGTTCTTGAAGTGTAAAAGGCACATTTATACTGTTCTTCTCTGAGAGAAGAAAAGCCCAAAGGGGTACTAACTCTCTGGTAGACTTTGAGGAAAGAAACGAGGGGCATAGATGGAGCCCTCGGGAAATACGGACCAGATGTGTGCCAAGTTCAATGGCAACGTCGAGAGGGTTTGCTACATCAACACCAGCGACCCGTAGAACAGGAGCCGGATCAGGAGAGTATTTACCACTCAATTTCCTCACTTTTTTCCAGACTGCACTCATAGAAGGGAACGCAAGAGGGTGATGGTGGAAATAGTCTCGCCAACAAGTGCGTTTAGCTTCACGGATGACACGGCGAGCGATCGCACGCTTCTGCTTAAAATCAAAGAAGTCTCTCAGCAGTTCTATGTACCGGTACCTGCCCCGTGCAGCACGTTTCAAACGTACTGCACGAGCACAAGCAGGAGACCACCAAGGCACGCACTTCTGAGAATGCCTGCGTGAGGTTTGGGGTATAGATGAAAAGCTGCGGTATAAACTGACGTCGAGAGATGTGTAAGAGCTCATCAATGGAGGATGAAGGAACCTCACTAAAAGCAGTGAGGTGTGAGTAAAGATCCCAATTTGCCCGATCAAATTGCCAGCGAGGGCTACAGGAAAGGTGGTGAATAGGAAGGAGAAGTAAGAATGATCGGAAAATGATCGCTGTCATGTAAGTCTGGTAGAACAGACCAGGTGAAGTCTAGTGCAGTTGAGGAAGAGCAGACTGATAGATCGATGCAAGAGAGAGTATGAGTACGAGGATCAAAATGGGTGGGGTACCCGTATTTAAAACATGGAGGGGTGTGAGAGGTGAGAAAAGCCTCCAACTGGATGCCACGTGAGTCACAATGAGACCCCCCCCCCCCCCCGAGGAAATGGTGGGCATTAAAATCACCAAGTAACAGAAGTGGTGGTGGTAAGGTGAAACAAGAAAGGCAAAGTCTGGGATAGAAAATGCTCGAAAAGGAGAGAGATATAAAGAACATATTGTAAACCACTTATTCAAGTGGATACGGGCTGCAGTGTAATGCACGAGGTATGGACAAATAGTTGACAGTACGGAATATCATTGCGTAGAAGAAGGGCACTTTCATTAAAGGTCCCATCTGAGAAAGGATCCGAAGAATACAATAATTATAGCCTGAGATAGGTTGGAAAACAGCCGAGTGTAATTTTGGTTCTTGTAAGCAAGCACCAACAGGGAAAACCTGGAAAGCAACATCTGAAGCTCACCCCGATTACCCCTGAGGCCGCGGATATTCCACTGTAAAATAGGCCATGATTAGCGATGAAGAAAGTATCAGGAATCTGTAGGTAAAGGCACCTATGGACTAGAGGGGTTAGAAAAGTCAACGTGTTGTGGTGGCATTGGAAGACGTTTCAAGTAGCGAAGGAATGGAGCGTTGCGAAGAATGGGGTTGTGAAGATGGAGGAGAGGGAAGAGAAGGAACAGGAAGTGAATCAGTGTCCATTGAAGGTTGAGTCTCTGCAATATATTCTGAAATGGCTTCAAGTGTTTCTGAATTCAAAGATGTATGGGAGTCCATATTGGAGATAGAAGGAGGAGGGTGAGTAAAGATTGGGACAGTAATGGACTGTACCAAAGTAGAGGGGGAGGGAAGAGTGTAAGGGACTGGAGATGAAGTGTGGGGGGGGGCAGAAGAGGCAGAAACCTGGGAGGTGGCAGAAGAGGGAGAAACTTGGGAGGGGACGGGGGTGGAAGGCATGGTACGAGGAGGAGGGTGAATCTCCACACTTGTAATAGAGCCAGAGAGAGGGGAAGAACTAGGTACAGAGACTGGAAAGGTAAAGTGTGGAGGTGGAAGAAGGGAAGGAAGGGGCAAAGAAGATTTGAGCAATGTGGATTTTTTGGACTTCCGAGTAGAGGGGCGATTGGTATTAGGTGTCGTACGAGGTCTTGTCGATACTGGGGCTTGTGAGGAAGGAGCAGAGATGTGAGAACAGACTGAGTTGTAGTCAGGACGTCAGAGCCAAGGACAGCAAAAGGATTAGATGCCATAGTGGCTATGGGAGGGGTAACAACAGAGGAGGCTGCAGAAGATGGGACCCCAGAAGTGGGGGGATGTCTGGAAACACGAGAATAAGAAACATGGGTAGTCCCCTTGGAAGGCGGAGATGAGTAACTGCCATAGCATAAGGGAGACCTTTTGCCTCTTTGAGGCAACGGATTTCACGTTCATTTAAGTAGACCTGGCAACGGCGGGAGTACGAAGGGTGAGCTTCATTACAATTAAGGCAAGATGGAGGTTGACTGCAAGATGTATTAGATGGCTGTTGGCACCACAGACTGGGCATTCGGCCATAGATCTGCAATATTTCGCTGGTGACCAAAACGCCAGCAATTTCTACATTGTTGCGTGTGTAGGTATCACCTTTCGAACTTGTAACCGATGTCCCGCGACATATACAGAGGACGGGAGTTCTCGGCTGTCAAAAGTTAAACGAGCCACATTGCAAGGGTAACGTCTCCGCCCCCGGCAGGAAGGACATAAGTGTCTACTTGAGGATTGGGAGATCCTGGAGTTCCAGCGTTCAAAAATGTCATTGCCACATGACTGGAAATTCTGTTGGACTATGGTATGGGGCAGAAATGACAGTACCACTACAAGAATTGAGAGAAAGATGTTTTTCAATAGTGACAGGAAGTTAGTATCGATAATCGAAAGGAGAGAAAGATCATGAGCTTGGGCAGCATTCTGGACAGTGATGATGCGCATACCGCTCTTGAGAGCATGAAATGAAATATCTCTACCAACATGACGCAGGAGCGCTTTGCCAATACTATGGTCAGAAAGGTAGGCAGAAGAAGAAGTCGGTCTTAAAGTAAAGAATTTAGTCCATTGTGTGGTCCGAAACTGAGCGTGGAGAGGGAGTGCTTGATGTCGGTCTTTTCCGAGTAGAATGGGAAGGTAACGAAGGAGCATCATCAGGAGATTGACGTTGGCGTTTAGGAGTAGGACCGGAGTTGGTCCGGCGTGAAATGGGCGGGGCGATTCGAAAAATTGCCGTACCGTAGAGGAGAGAAGCCGGAAGCATAGTCAAAGGAGAGGGAGTTCAGACAAATCAAAGGAGTCAGTCGAAGCCCCGGTACCTGAAGCGGTGGAGGAAACAACACCAGCAAGAGTACAGGGGCATCAGGAGTGTCCGAAGAGTGGTCTAAACACAAGGCAGGGTCAGAATGGGGTGCGGTATCAAGAAGGGGCCCGGGGGTAGTGGGTTCATGGACTAGGGCTGCCATGGTTAGGTTACTCCTTTGCTTTTTGTTTTTAAGAAAAAAAAAAAAGAAAGAAAGAAATAAAAATAAAAAAAAAAAAAAGGGGGGAGCGGGGAGGAATAGTTCCCAGGAGGAATGAAAGGGCCGGAAATCTCCCTCCGCGCCCAAGAGGACCTCAACACCGCTAGTAGCGCAGATGCAGCATGGAACCCGTGCCATACCCTACCCTTCATGCCAGTAAACCAGCAATCCGGGATAGCAACCTCACATCTGCCGAGCTACCTCAGTGGACAAAAGAGAGGGCGGCCGGATATCCGCCACAAAGCATACCTCCTTCGGCCACCACCCCCGGAATCCGAAAGGTGGCTTCCAGAGATACACCCATCGCCCGAAAGACACCCAAAGCTACTCCGGGATACTGGAGAGGGATCAGGACATCCCCAGGCAATCCAGATTCCACGGCAAACTACGCCACCGCCAAGAACCTCAACGGAATGGGATGGACCCCGGTGTCCTTTCCCCTACCTAGGAACTAGCGAGCCTGTGGGAGAAATCCCAAAGGCCAAAAAGAGGAAGGGCAAAAGGGAGGGGTGAGGAGGAGGAGGAGGAATGGAAAAAGGGGAGGATGGGATAGGGGAGGGGAGAATGGGGGGGTAATTAGGTTCGGTCTGAGGAAGAAGACCGACAGGGCTAATTCCTCAGACCAAGAGCCTCTTCACCACGCCAAGGAGCCCCCCTTGAAGAGGGGGGAAATTATTACAATTTGAAAGTTGATGTACAAATCCCATAGAATTTATCATCAAAGAAAATAGGGAAATTTTTAATTACAGACAACTAAATTCTAGGGGAAAAGTTTGAAAGTTGGTGTGAAATTCCCATAGAATTCACTATTAAAGAAAATGGTAAATTTTTAATTACAGCAAATGGAGGAGTTTAGAAAGGTGGTTTAAAATTCCATAATTTTTTTTTTTACCAGTAAATTTTTCAATTACATTTATTAAATTCTTGAAAGCCTGTAACTTTGATTATAATAATAATTAGCATGTGGACGACTGCAGGGATCAAAGCTCTGAAAGAAATTGTATTGCTGATAAGTGAGACATCTACAACACGACAGGCATTTCATTGACTTTGATCAACCCATGGCTTTATCAATACATCAGTGACAAAAGTACAAGAGGTAATCACTCAACTCAGCCTTGCAGAATTTTACAATCCCTCATTTTAGAACCAAGTGTTCAAATTACAATACTGAACACCTACTAGACTTGAGGAACTTATCACCTCATCTACCATCTTTGGTATATGATTCTGCAAGGAATCATATACAGTATTGTTTGTCCCTGTATATTAAAACATTCATTGGCATATTACAATCAAAACTAAGTGCTAAACCAACAAGGGTCACTGGCTGGTGTAATGCCTACGAAATAAAAGTACCCAGATGTGGCATACATCTAATTCATCAATTTGTTGGTACTGTTTACCAATGATTTTATGAAATAATAACAAATTAGGCCAACCACATTTTAACAGGATTGGAGCACTAAACCATAAATTAAAATAAAAATTTAAGTGCTAAACCCACTATTGTTTAAACCATAAGTGGGTAAAGGAATAGAAAGGTATCAGACTGTAGCCAAGGAAAAGGAAAGGAAGGGGGGGGGAGAGAATATCAAATTACTTGGCTCAAGAACCCTTCACTAACTGGTATTAAAGTACCTCCCTGGAGAGGGGTAAATCACAAAAATTGGTATTTTAGTAAAATCAAGATTACTGCATCGACATTACAAATTATTGTGGTCATGACTGGAGCAATATAGCTGTAGTCAAATTTGCAAATGAGTGACAATTTGATTCAATCCAAGGAAATGAAATTATCTTCAATTCTTAAGATTGAGAGCACTTCACTGGCATGAAGGCAGATCCCCTTCCCTAGTGAGTTTCCTTGATATTGGTAATGGGTGCTTGATCCAAAGAATTTGACCTTCTCCCATTCCTTGGATGTAACATGATTGCATTTCAACCCCTTTATGTTCTTATGTTACCTATCTTTGTGTCATCGGCGAATTTGCTATATCACTAGTAATTCCCTCATCAAGGTCATTGATATATATAAACAACAACGGGCCCAAGACTGATCCCTGTGGAACGCCACTAGGAAAGTATTGGTTTGGAAATAGGGTAGTTGATGAGTGGAACAGTCTACCTAGTTGGGTTATTGAGGCTAGGACTTTGGGTAGTTTCAAATTTAATTTGGATAGGTACATGAGTGGGAGGGGTTGGATTTGAGTGGGACTTGCACATCAGAGCTTATTTCTTGGGTAGCATTGAAAATTGGGTTGGGCATATGTTTTGTTAGTGGGATGAATTGTAAAGGACCTGCCTAGTATGGGTCAACAGGCCTGCTGCAGTGTTTCTCCTTTCTTATGTTCTTACTATGACACCTACAGGTTTAGCAATCTTCTATGAACACAATGTAAAATTCATATAAAGTGCCAAACCACTTTGGGTCACAAAGCATTGCAATGCTGCTGAGAGATAGCTATCAGCAAAGGGTAGTGGTGTGAAATGTACACTTGTGAGTGAACACGGAAAGTCAAAGTTCATTATCGTGGTCCTTGATGTGAGAAATTACAAAAGTGCTTCAAAGTTCACTTATTTTTTCACAGTGGATTTCCATTTTTCATGGATTACCACCTCCACATACTCCAATTTCCTTCTCTCCTGTGGATTCTCAGAGAAACCTCTGGAAGATGCCAGTTCTGTGGAAATAAATCTCCATTTGCCATCTGCCTCTCTTCCTGTTTTCTCATCAATGGATTAATGGCACTGCGCCTTCCTGGTTCCCAATGAGCCAACAAGACTCTTTGTTCTTCATGATGGAAAGAGCACTTGAATGGGCCACATCAAACAGATTCACAAGCCTGTTTTTGAATATATTGTCCTCCTTTCTCTGCACCAGGCTGCTCTTTTGTTTTCCTTCAAATGTTCCAGTACTTGTGGAAAGCAAGGATCAATGGCATGGTGACTAACCAAGGTTCCTGGACAGTATTCTGGCTTTTGCCCAAAATCTCTAAACACCTTGAACGCTTCACTTCTTGTCTTCAATTCCTCTAGATCATGGAGGACAGGCAGCAATGCCCCAGCAAATGCAAAAATAAACACTACGCACTTCGCCAGCAGAGGGCATCTTCGAGTCAAGAATCTTCTAGACTTGTCAAGGACATAAATCCCACAATTTTTCATCATATCCTGTGACTTACAACCCTAGAAAAAAATATTCTGATTAAGCTTTGCAAATAGAAAAGAACTGTACTTAATGACATTTTTCATTCTTAGTCTAGTTGATAAAAAAATTGCTACAATAGTGAGCACAGGGTATTCCAAAATGTCAATTGATTACAAGCAACTGATCCAAACACTTGTATACTGGATAGTTGAGCTTACTGTATAAAAAATATGTAACAGAAAATCTTCAAGTCTCAATAGCCAGTGTTATTTTCTCAAAATGGATTTTTTTTTTTAGGGGATGGGAGTGGTTGGAACTTAGTTAATTTGGATCTCTCTCTCTCACACACATACATACATGTATCAATGCACCATGCGGAAACAGGTGGGTATATACAGAGAAAGATCGCAGTCAACAGGATTTGAAGCCATGTCAGGGAGGCTGTCAAGGTTCACCCAGTGACTCTTCTAGATAACTCAGCCATAGATGCCTTAAAAGATGGGCAGCCTTGTTTGCAAACCATGTTTCTTTCCCAGCCCACCAGTGGGCCTCAAGTATGGTTTCAGGCTATTTCATTCTCCTCCTGTATGTTCTGACATCACAAGCAATTTTTATATCAACACCACACACAAACAAATGGGTATATACAAATGGTCTAGAACGCAACTTGGGAACCTTGTCAGCCTTCCCTGATGTGGCTCCAAATCCTGCTGACTGTGATCTTTGTGTGTGTGTATACAGATGCTCCCAACTTACAAACAAGTTACATTCCAGAAGACTCGTTGTATCTTGAATTGCTTGTGAATGATGGTGAAAGTTTTTCTTTTTTGGGCCACCTTGCCTTGGTGGGAATTGGCCAGTGTGTTAATAAATAAATAAATATTACTGTTCTCTCTCTATGCTGTTCTTCATTGAAAACTTAAAGACAATATACTGTACAGTATCAGTAATTTACAGTTCTTAATACTAAAGCATATTTTAATAATAAATACTGTAATAAAAAACTTACCTTTTTAATTGGTACAATAAAATTGAGGTGATGGATGAGAGGAAGATCGGAGGTTGTGAGGGGCTACTGGGGGAGAGGGTAGTCAACCTCATACACTTTGTCATCAAATGCTTCAAGTAAGCCTGGGATTCTTCAACATCTGAAGAGGCTTTTGAGGTAGAAGGCAGTGGTTTGAAGAATTTGTCCAAGGAAGTTTGCACCGTTTTTCTCTTCTTGTCGTATATAAGTATATAGAATTGTTAACACCATACATAAATAACGCGCACATAGAAGAGAGGAGCTTACGACGACATTTCGGTCTGAAACGTCGTTGTAAGCTCCTCTTTTCTATGTGCGGGTTATTTGTGTATCATTCCAGTCACGGTATTGTGCCTTTTTTTGTTATTGTTAACACCAGTTGAAACCTTTGAGAATCTCTATATTGGGGTCCTGAAGCTCAAACATACAGAGACCTCTCTCTATAAGAGAAAATGCCTCGGCCATCATTTTCGTCTCAAACTTTTTAGAAGAAAGTTTCATGTTGTTCCTCTTGCTCTTCCTTAAGCTGCATCTCTTCCAGCTCCATCAGATCTTCATTCGTCAGCTCCGTTGACTTCGGTGCTGCCCAGCGTGGGTTGCGGCAAAATGTTGTACTATGCAGAAGGCACGCAACTCGGTTTTGCGGAGGTACTGTGAATGAAACTAACACAGCAGTCTGTTCGTATGTCCAAATGTTCGTAAGTAGGGTAGCGTCTATATACAGTGGACCCCCGGTTAACGATATTTTTTCACTCCAGAAGTATGTTCAGATGCCAGTACTGACCGAATTTGTTCCCATAAGAAATATTGTGAAGTAGATTAGTCCATTTCAGACCCCCAAACATATACATACAAACGCACTTACATAAATACACTTACATAATTGGTCGCATTCGGAGGTAATCGTTATGCGGGGGTCCACTGTATATAAATTTTTTTCAACAAACTGGCCATATTCCACAGAGGAAAGGTAACCTAAAAAGAAAAACAAAAGTTTCTCTTTTTAAAATTAGTAATGTACACAGAAGGGGTTACTAGCCCCTTGCATCTAGCATTTTAGTTGCCTCTTATGACATGCATGGTTTACGGAGGAAGAATTCTGTTCCATTTCCCCATGAAGAAAAGAGGAAATAAACAAGAACTAGTAAGAAAATAGAAAAAAACCCAGAGGGGAATGTATATATATATATATATATACAGGCTTCTACATGCAGGTGTAGTGTGACCTAAGTGTAAAAAGAAGTAGCAAGATGTACCTGAAATCTTGCATGTTTATGAGATAGAAAAGAGACACCAGCAATCCTACCATCGTGCAAAACAAATACAGGCTTTCATTTTACACTTGCTTGGCAAGACAGTAGTATCTCCCTGGGTGTTTGCTGTCTACCAACCTACCACCTAGGATATTTTATATACACTCTGATAATTATACTTTTGTGTACCTGTACCTAAATAAATTTACACACTATGCAAGTAAGTACACATTAAAATCACTAAGAGTGTTTTATTAGTCTTGAAGATGCCATATTAATAATGATAATATGTAATAATAATCACTCTGAGGTCCATTAAATGTTGTATATTTAATCAATCAATCAAATTTATTCTCTATAAAGATTACAATGCGGGGTTTACAGATTTTGGATACTGGGTGGTTTACGTGTTATAAAATACTAATTACAGAGGGGGCCACTATGACACCTAGCATGGCTAGGTATTTCGGGCAGACTTAGATTAATTCTTAACTCTAAATTATTACAGATTATGGAGTAAGTAGGTATTAAGGCTAAGTGACTACATTATAGTTTGTGAATTTAGCAATGTGAATGCTTTTGTTTTGGTACAATACATAGTTTCTATATTGGAGTATCACAGGGAAACTTACAACTAGTTAGGATTCATTATTTTAAGATTAAGATTCATATTTCTGTGTTTATAGTCAAATGGGTGAGTGTAAGTGTGAACCACCAGGTGGTTTTCATGTAGTTAGCTGACGGGGAGTATCAGGGAGATAAGATGTTTTCTAACGGTAGTTTTGAAAGTGATGAATGTGTCTGCAGTTCTAGAGTTTTCAGGTAGGGTGTTCCAGATTTTAGGCCCTTTGACATACATTGAATTTTTGTAAAGGTTTAGTCGGACATGGGGAATGTCACAGAGATGTTTGTGTCTGGTGTTATGCCTGTGGGTCCTGTCACAAGTATCAAGAAAGCATTTTAGGTCAAGGATAATATTGGAATTTAAGGTCCTGTAGATATAGATTGCACAGTATTAAGTGTGGATGTTCTGAACAGAGAGTAAGTTTAGAACTATGAAGAGGGGGGAGGTTTTTTGCCAGGGATGGGATTTAGTGAGTATTCTTACTTCAGCTTTTTGTAGGTGTGTTGCTGCAGTTGATCCCCAAGCACAAATAGCATAGGTGAGGTATGGATAAATGAGTGAATGGTATAGTGTGAGAAGGGCAGTTTGTGGCATGTAGTATCGTATCATGGAGAGGATCCCAACTGTTTTGGATACTTTTTTTGTTATGTGATAGATATGGGTGCTGAAATTCAGGTTGTTGTCGAGGTATAGGCCTAGGAATTTGCCTGCTCTGCTACCAAACATAATATAGTAAGTTTTGTCAGTGTTAAGTGTAAGTTTATTGGCTGTCATCCAAGTCGATATTTTGAGCAGCTCGTTAACAATGGTGTTGAGGGTGGCAAGATTTGGGTGGGAGATGACATAAGTCGTGTCGTCAGCAAAGAGAATGGGTTTCAGGTGTTGGGATAAGTTTGGAAGATCACTGATGTAAATGAGGAAGAGCAGGGGACCAAGGACACTTCCCTGCGGCACTCCAGTATCAAGTGGCCATGTTGATGAGGTTGTGTCTTTAATGGTGACATACTGATACCTATTAGTAAGGTAGGATTTGAAATATGCAAGCACATGGCCTCTTATACCATAATGGTCAAGTTTGTGGAGTAGGATGCCATGGTCTGTGTCAAAAGCTTTTCTTAGGTCAATAAAAATTCCTAGCGGATATTCCTTATTTTCCAGTGCTGTGTAAAGCAGATCTAGCATTTTTACAATTGCATCATTAGTGCTTTTATTTTTCCTGAAACCAAATTAGCAGGGGTTGAGTATGTTTTGTGCCATTATAAATGAATATATGTAGTAGTCTCCTGTGCACGAGTTTCTCGAAGATTTAGGATAGCAATGGTAAGTTTGATATTGGCCTATAATTGTTCACATCTGTAGGGTCACCACCTTTATGTATTGGCGTAACCCTTGCTGTCTTGAGTAGTGTCGGGAAAGTGCTAGTTTCTAGTGACTTGTTAAAAAGTAATGTAATAGCATGCGAAAGGACATGAGCTGCTTGCTTGTACAATAATGGTGGGACATGAGACAGATTCCCCGAGTTCTTTTTAAGTGACTTTATAATCGTGGTGACTTCTGTGGGCTCAGTTGGTACAAGATAGAAGGAATTTGGAAAATTCCCATCTAGGTAGTCCCTGGCACGGGCATTGGTACGTGGGATTTTCCTGGCGAGATTAGATCCTATGGTTGAGAAGAAGTCGTTTATCTTGTTAGCTGTATCAGTGGGATGCAGTGGTGTTTCATTAGGTTTAGTTAGGACAATATTCTTGTTTTTTCAGTTTGTGGGTCCCCAGAATCTGGGAAAGTGTTTTCCAGGTCTTTTTATGTCTCCTCTTGTGTCAGTGAATCTGCTGGAGTAGTACAGTTTGGCTTTCTTTATTACTCTGGTGAGAACTGATGAATAGTGTTTAAGAATATCTTTGTGTATTAAGCCCTGTCTATATTGCTTTTCATATTGGTGTTTCTTATCAATGGATTTCAGAATGCTGCTGGTTAGCCATGGGCAACCGAGCCGTTTATTAGTGATCTGTTTAGTTTTTATAGGACAATGTTTGTTGTATAGTCTAAGTAATTTATTAAGAAAAATGCCTGTCCAATCGTCAGTACCATTGGCCTTGGAGAATTCAGCAGGCCACTCAACAGTCTCTAGGTCTGCTGTGAAATTCCTTACAGAGGCCTTGTCATGGAGGCTAAATGAAACTTTGTTGTATTCCAGTGGTAGTTTACTAATGTTAGTTAAGAGGAAGGTAGGGTAGTGGTCTGTAGTGCTGTCTGTGATTATCCCTGATTTAACGGGGGCTTATGTTGGTCCATATGTGTCTATTATGGTTGCACTTGTCTCAGTCAGCATGGTTGGTTTAGTTATTGTCGGTATGAGAAGTGTGTTGTTCATATTGTTGATGAAATCAGTTACAGGCTGATCATCTGGTAGGCCAAGGTTGATATCGAAGTCTCCAGCTAAGAGAAGGTAGTGCTTGTTCATTTGTCTGTTATTAGTGCCTTTAATTTCTCACTGAAATTTGTGATGTTTGTGTGGGGTATCCCGGTAAATGGCACCAATTGTTATAGGCGTCTTAAGGTTTTTTACAGTAAAATTAGCAAAAATGTACTCCCCATATTCATCACTAAAGCAAGTGGTGCTAATACAAGATAGCTGGTTAGAGTAGTAGAATGCAATACCACCCCCAACTTGGTATGGTCTGCAGTTGTGGATTGCTGTGTATCCTGGTAGTGGGTAGATATCTATTGTGTCCTGCTTAAGCCAGGTCTCGGTAAGAATAATGCAGGAGAAGGGTGTCTTTAGCGACTCAAGGAGTGCCAGGTCATCATAGTGTGTGCTTAAGGACCTGATGTTGCAGTTAAGAACTGATAGACTTTTAGCAGTGTTTAGGATAGTGCTGGCTTGTGATGCTGTGTAATAAAGGCAGTTACTTTCGAATAGGTTTTGATTGGGTGTTACATTACGGAGATTTAGATCGGGGTCAACTTGATCATTCATCATTTAGGTTTAAATAGTGGTTATTTATATCCTGTATTGTGTGTTGAGTTCTAGTACTGAATCTGTAGTAGTGGGAAGTTTGGACAAGTATATAGCTAAAGCACTTTGGTCATATAGAGTATAGTCACTAATAAACATAATGAAGTTGATGTTGTCTATGTGTTGTGCTAGAATGAGCTAAAGTACAACTAGGTAAAAACTAATAATATAAAAATACAAATTAAAAATAGCACGAAACTCTCACTTGTAATTGCACTAAGGTCTAATATAATGAATTTGGTGTTGTCTATTTATTGAGCTAGAATGAGCTAAGTACAACTAGGTATAATCTAATAATATAAAAAATACTAATTAAAATGGCACAAGACTCTCACTTGTAATTGCACTAAGGTCTAATATAAGTTGTTAACAAGAACTAGAGTATAACTAGATTTAAATTGACAAGATAAAATTCACAAATTAAAGTAGCAAAAGAATAGTAAAATAAAAAAATAAAAATGGGTGACAAAGTCTAGAATAGAATAGGGCAATTATAAAAAGTTTATAATAAAACTGGGTACTAAAGTTTACAAATAAAAAAGGGTAATAATAAAAAGTTTAAAATAGATTGGGCAATACAGTATAAGGTAAAATTGGGCAAGTATAAAATTGGGTAATAAAGTCTAGATTAGACTAGTGCAATAATAAAATGAAAAGTTTACAATAAGGTTGGGCACTAAAGTATAAAATAAAAATGGGCAAAAATAAAAAGTTTAAAGTAAAATTGGGCTATAATAGCGAGTTTAAAATAAAGTTGGCGATAGAGTATATCTTAAAGTAGGGTAGTAATAGTTGAGAAGGACAATGCTATGGTTAGTTACAATTAAAATAAGATAGAACAATGAAGTGGTAAGTTGTAAATAAGGAGAGAGATTCTGAAGAAATTAAACACAATTAAGACTATGAGGTAAAATGGTCATTGAATACAAAAGTGCCATTCAAAAGTAGTTGGGGTATTGGAAATTTTTGGGGAAACAAATTTTATGACAATGCAGACATTTTCATTAACCCTTTCAAGGTCTGTCCCGTAGATCTACGGCTTTACGTTCAGGGTCCAAACCGTAGATCTACGCCATGAGCTCAGCTCACTAAGCTGTGAGTGGTAAATTTGGGCCTAGATATGAGAGAATACATCTATGTAGTATGTGTGCACCACATAAAACAAATCCTGCAGCACACAGTGTATAATGAGAGAAAAAAAAAAACGAGACCATGATTTTCGATTAAAACAGTGACTTTGCAGTGTTCTTTCATATGTTTTTTATAGTTGTATTTGCAATTTCTTGGTCTCATTTGATAGAATGGAAGACATATTACAGAAATGGAGATGATTTTGGTTGGTTTTAGTACTGGAAATGGCTTGAAACTGAGCTCAAAGTAGCAGAAATGTTAAATTTTTGTCGATGTTCAAGAGTAAACAAATGACCTCACACGTCTAATATACGCCAGCTGGTGGGTCTAATGTACATTCACAAATGTGATGATGATATTTATACAATTATTACAATATTGCATAACAGTAAATCTTCTATTTTTTGGTTTGAATAAAAAATCATTATGTGAATAAAAAATCAAAATGGAATTCATTTGTAAAGCCTGAAAACATAACTAATGAGCAGAGGATACGTTAGCTTAGTGCCAGGAATGCCTGCATTGTTTATTCTGGACCCTATTTTGAAACTGGAATATTTTGAACTTTGTGTTAAATTGGCCAAATTACCAATTTCCGATCGCTTTATTTTGTAGTTGAAACAGTTGACTGGGCAATTTCTTGTGCTCAATTGATAGAATAGAAGTAATACTAGTGAAATAGCTAGGAATTTGGTTGACTGGAATAATGTAATTGGCCTAAAATGGGAGTCAAAGTTGGCAAAATCACTGATTCGTAAATATCGCTGACATCAAAATTCGCGAGAGCATAATTTCGTCAATTTTCCATCAAATTTCATACTTTTTATTTTATTACCTTCAGAAAAAGATTCTCTACCATTTCATAAGAAAAAATAAATTTTTTTTTTTTTTAAATTCTTGGACACTGGTGAACCCTTTGAAATTTGGCCTCTGAACTCTGAAAGGGTTAATCCATCTATAACGTTTTTTCCTCAAAATTATATAATAAACATGCTATGGAACATATAAACATGATAAATACACCCCACAGTAAAATAAATTAACATAAATATGAGATATTTTTCCAGTCATCTTGTCAGTGTTGGAAAGAATAACGTTTTTTCTAGTTCAACACTAAAGAAAATGCATACACAACAGCATTACTAGGGGTAACTGTAGCAAATTATTCCTTTCATATGCCTTCACTCAGAGTGTCATTCCTTCTAAAAATGGTGTGTTACATGAGAATGGGAGTGTTGCTCTTTATTTATTCTACTGTGCCAAGGTGGAGACAACTTGTACAAAATGTAAGGTACAGGTACAGGTCGGCCATCACTAATCCGGCAATAGGTAATCCGGTTCCATCAATAATCTGGTACCAATTTCGGATAGCACAATTTCAAATCTGACAGGGTCTCCACACCAACCTTCCGCTACTGTTTGGTGGCGCTACTTGCTGCATAAGTTATTCCAATTTCTTTTTCTCCATTTACTCTTATAAACTGCTCACTTTTAGCCCTTGCCATGGTTCCAACGAATAAAAGAAATGCTTCTCAGTGTGTAAAGAGGGGCCTGGAGATGTGACTAATGAGCAGAGAAAATTTTATTTTAGTGCCAGGAATGTCTGCATTGTTTATTCTGGACCCTATTTTGAAACTGGCATCTCTTGAAATTTGTGTGAAATTGGCCAAATTACCAATTTCTGACCACTTTACTGAGTAGCTGAAATAGGTAAATGGGCAGTTTCTCATACTCAATCGACAGAATAGAAGGAATGCTAGCGAAATAGCTATGACTTTGGTAGACTGGAACAATGTAATGGGCCAAAAATAGGGTGATGCATAAATATCACGGTTGGGTTAAGTGTATTCTTACCTAACCACTCTGTAATCTGACAAAATCACTAATCCAGCAAACTACAGGTCCCAATGATGGTTTAGTGATGGTTAACCTGTACTAAATAGTTTAGGATATAAATATGAATAGAATTCTAATAAAAACAGGCTACATAAGAGTGTGCTATGAGAAATCTCTCTGAACCAATCATCTCGCCTCATCCCACTGACAACTGCCATTCCAAAAATTCACAATATCACAACCAATACAATTCACACTGTCCAATTTCCATTAGTAATCCGGCACCAATTTCGACTAGCGTAAATTCAAATTTCTGGGGCTGCCACACCAACCTGCTGCTACTGTTTGATGGTGCTACTTGCTGCAAAAGTCATTCCAATTTGTTTTTATCCATTTATTGTTATAACTTGTTCACTTTTAGCTCTAGCCATGGTTCCAACAAATAAAGGAAATGCTTCTTGTTGTGTAAAGCGCAAATATTATACACTGTCCATAAAAGATAGGGTGGCTTTGAAGCCACTCTCAGTCCCATAGTAGGACGCTATGAGCTCAACTCTCTCAGATAAGCTGTGATCGGTAAATCTGGGCCTACATATGAGAGAATAGGTATGTGTGAGATAAGTGTGCACTATAAAAAAAAATCCTGCAGAATGCAGTGCATGAGGAAAAACTGCGACCGTGTTTTTTTGGTGGTGTATTTTCATATGGTTATGATTGTATTCTCATTTTTTTTTGGCCTTACTAGACAGAATGGAAGATATATTACAGATTTTGAAACTGAGCTCAAAGTAGTGGAAATGTTTGATTTTTGTTGATGTTCAAGAGTAAGCAAATCACATCATGCATCCATGTCCAACTGGCCAGTCTAATACGCAGTCATGAATGGGCTGACTTTATTTATACAATTATTACAATAATGCAGCAGTCTGTATAACAGTAAATCTTCTATTTTTTGTGTGAATAAAAGTTCAAACTTTAACACAAATGTTATAAGACGGCCTGGAGATGTGACTAATGAAAAGAGAAAATGTTATTTTAGTGCCAGTAATGTCTGCACTGTTTATTCTGGACCCTATTTTGAATTTGGCATCTCTTGAAATGTGTGTGAAATTGGCTAAATTACCAATTTCTGATCACTTTATTGGGTGCCTAAAATAGGTAAATGGGCAGTTTCTTGTACTCAATCGACAGAATAGAAAGAATACTAGCGAAATAGCTACGAGTTTGGTAGACTGAAACAATGGAATGGGCCAAAAATTGGGTGTAAAGTGGGTGAAATCGCCAATGTGTAAATATCGCCACTGGGTTAAGTGCATTCTAACCTAATCAATCTGTAATCCGGCAAAGTCACTAATCTGTCACCCTACTGGTCCAGATGCCAGATTAGCGATAGTCAACCTGTACCATATTCTATATTTTTCCTACAAATAGCTATACCACTATTTCAAAGCAGCACAACTCATCCTCCTAGGAACTATATCACTTCTTCACATACAATTTATAGCACATTTCTAGGTTAGAAAAACTTAAAATATAATATAAAAAGTAATAAAAATAAAATATAATATAAAAAGTAATAAAAATGACTGCTGCACAAACAGAAAACAAATACCTACTGTGTGCAACTGAAATATAATAAGTCATATTTCAACTGTTCAAGGAGCTATCAACAGTCATCCTTTTGACTGATTTTACAACAGTGCCATGATGTCTGTGGTTAAGAGAATGGGCTAAGCAGCAACAGGCCCCTCCACTGCACTAACTACAGCATCAACCCTTGTCCTAGATAACTAGACTTCATCCCTGGCATACATGTCATTTCTGCTGTCAATAAATGATACTGCAATATCCTTACCGAGTTTGTCCAGTCAACAATTTATACCAATTGTCATGGGCACCCATTCATTTCCAACTCTCCTCCTCGGCAAAATGCAACTTATTACAGGAATCCCCCCTTCTTCCTAATGCCTATACCACTCCTATACCTGGTAATAAGATCCTGACTTCCATGCTTGCCTATGTCACTGCCTCCAGCACTGAAGAAGATAATAAGGTTGATCCCATTACCATTGATGATGCTGTCAAGACAGATAATATCCTCCATCCTTGCCAAGGAACACACACCCTTTGCCTCCCACTCCTATTCTTTAACCTGTGAGGCCCCAACAAGAACAAAATTCTTAACTTGTGGCTTTACCATCATCTTTCTGTGTTGCTGCATGGGTTGTCCTACATTCGTCCTGGTTCAGTGCTCCATTTGATGTCCCACACTGATCTTGAATCACAGCAAATGTATTAGAAGCTTCCACTGCTTGTCCTTCAAATGCTCAGTTTAGAGCCTCTCCTCTCCACCACTAACAGGTTTCTTCACTGTCCTCAGCCTTATTCACAGGAGGACTGATGCGAAGCCTGTTTTCTTCCCTCAGAAATAGTCTCTCTCTCCTGGCTTCCTCCAGCTCAGCCTTCACTTAATGGTACAGCTTCTGCATGAAGACATCATTGTTACTCTTACTTAGCACTCACTAACTTTTTTGAGTTATCCTAGGTAATTTACACATATGCTGCTTTTCTTGGGTTACCCTGGGCTGGCTAACCCTCCAGGTTAAAAATCTGAACAAAATCTTATCTTAATCTTATGTATGATAATGTAACTGCATTTATGTGTACCTGTACTTGATTAAACTTATTTATTCACTGGACACAGGCGAACTCATTACCTACACAAATGAACTCGCTTGGCCCTACTGGAGTCTACCCGGAGGGTATTCCGGGGATCAATGCCCCCGTGGCCCGGTCCATGACCAGGCCTCCCCCCAAAAAATGTGGAATGCAACCCATTCCATTCCTCTATCACTATGTAGTAGTTTGAGCCCTGGCCACCTACTGTGGGTACCATGATAGGAGGCTGTGGCTTGATTGGCAACGCTCTAGCCTCCCACACTGAGTGTTCGCAGTTTGATCCCCGACAAAGGTGGAAATGTTGGGCATGTTTCCTCACACCTACCGACCCTGTTCACTAGCAATAAGTAGGTAACTGGATGTTAATTGACTGGTGTGGATTGCATCCTGGGGGGACAAGACTCAAGGACTCCTGGGTGGCTAATCCTCCAGGTTAAAAATCCAAACAAATCTCATCTTTACCTTTCAAGGCAGGCAAAATTGCTGACCTGGAGAATGTATAGACTCTTCATGGCACACACAAGGACGATAAAGCATCTAAATTACTGGGAACAGTTGAAGTCCCTTGATTTGTATTCCCTGGAATGCAGGTGAGAAAGATACATGATAATATACACTTGGAAATCCTAAAGGGATTAGTACCAAATTTACACAAGAAAATCACTCACTACAAAGGCAAAAGACTTGGCAGGAGATAAAACATCTTCCCCAGTCTGGTCACAGACTGGGCCACAGGGGTATTGATCCCTGAAACCCTCTCCAGGTATACTCCAGGTAAGGCTGAGGGTTTGATCATCTGAAAATTGTCTACTTCTCATCTCCAGTATGTATTATATACAGAGTGAATCCCTGGTTTTCGGCCGGTGTGAAAATCGTACAATTCAGAGTTTCAGCACTTTTTTCAGCGAAATTTCCCCTAAGTTTAGTACATCGGCTCAGAAATCAATGGTACCAGACCCGTCCACCTGGGCCGCTCACACGTCTGTGACTCACTCTTGGGCACATTAAATGTCTTATTTTACGTTAATATAGACATTTTCATTAATCCATCTATAATACATGTGTTTTCTTCAAAATTATGTAATAAACATATTACATAGCATATAAACATGTCTTTGTTACTCGTTCACTAAGAGTGTCCCTCTAGTCTTAATGCCATAATAATACTAATAGTACATACGTAATAATAATTACTCTTGGGCACATTAAATGTCTTATTTTATGTTAATACAAACATTTTCATTAATCCATCTACGATATTTTCTCCAAAATTATGTAAGATACACATTACATAGCATATAAACATGCCTTTGTTACTCGTTCACTAAGAGTGTCCCTCTAGTCTTAACGCCATAGTAATACTAATAGTACAGTAGACTGTCATTTAACACTGTTTTGTCTGGCATGTTTTGGTTATAGCATGATTGAAGAATTGCAGCATAGTATTTTTGTTTAACACTTCGTAAAATTAATTTAACACGGTTGCGTAAGGGGAAAAATTTTTGAGCGTGCAGTCACCCACGGGGTGGGATGGGCTACAGCCATCCCCCACCAACATCAGCCGCCCCCACCACCCTCCCTCCCAGCCTTCAGTTCGGTTCATACATGTGTTGGATGAACCTGTGCCAGTAGCTCGTTGTGTTTGTTTAGATACGTATTAATTGCCATATCTTAATTCTGCCAAGCAATCGTGGCACCCAGTAGGCATACAAGTGTTGCTGAAAGTTGCAAGAAAAGGGTTAAGCATTTAAGTCTTAGAATTAATGAAGAAATTAGAGATATTAGACAAGAGATAGCGTCATTTTGTACACAAAAAGAATGAAGTAAACATGAGTTTGTGTGATGACTGACTGACTTATTGACTGACTTGATTGACTGACTTGATTGACCGACTTGATTGACCGACTTGACTGACTGACCTGACTGACTGACTTACTGATTTGACTGACTGAATGACTTGACTGACTGAATAACTTGACTGACTTACTGAGTGACTTTACTGAATGAATAAAATAGGCCATATTATATCAAGTGATGGCGACACCAGCAGCATCTGTCATTTACTCTCTCACTCTAGTACCTTCCCAGTCCATAACCCCACACCTAGCTTGGGTTTATCTATGATTAGTGGTGAGATTGTCACATATGTAACCACAGGTGTGGTCAAGACAGATGTTTACATAGGTGAAGACGTAAGGTGGCAGCCACAATGGTGGTGACGAGGTGCCTCACTCTGCTGCTGCCTTCTTCGTTTCTCTAGGTTTTTTTTTTTCATAGTTTCTAATCGCTTCCTGAGCTTCTTGCTGATCATACACAAATACTGTCTCTTCGGGCGAGGCATTGTGTAAGAAATTTGTACAATATAAGACAAAATTACGCGTCCCAAGGGTCTGCTGCAGTCACTCAGAGCGGAACATCACCTCTTCCTCTTGACCCTTGGTTGGCACTGAGATAGCCTGGTCTAGCAGCTATACCTACAGCCAACCAGAGGGTTACCAATTTGTATTTTGAAGCCGTCAACATGACTCACAAAATCGTAATGACACAACTGCAAACAAACCATACCACGGGTGAGGTTAGAACCTGCGATCAGAGAGTCTTAAAACTCCAGACTTAAGTTTTAAGACTCTCTGACTGCAGGTTCTAACCTCATCCGTGGTATCGTTTGTATTTTCAAGCATTTGGCACAAAAATATGAAAAAAAAAAAATGACATTATTATCACTATTATATATTATTATAATTATTATTTTATTATTAGTAGTACATTCATATTATAATGATAATTATTAATATTATTATTATTATTAATTTAGGGAACTGGAGCACATATCCAATTCCCTAGATCAAGAGCCCCTCACCATGTACATACTAATAATAACAATAATTATTATAACAATATTATATGTATTATTAGTAGTACAGTGGAACCTCAAAAATCGAACTTAATCCGTTCCAGGAGCTAGTTCTAAATTCGAAAAGTCTGAAATTCGAAGCAATATTTCCCATAAGAAATAACGGAAATACAATTAATCCGTTCCAGAGATCCAAAAATATTCACACAAAAAATACATTTAATAGAGATTAATTACAGTTTTACATACAACAAATACTATAGTTTTTAATTATGTATAGTAATACATATAAAATAAAATTTTTACTTACCTTTATTGAAGATTGGTGATGGCATCTGGAAGATAGGGAGGAGGAGAGAGGGGGTTGGGGTTAGTGTTTGGAAGGAGAATCCCCCTCCATGAGGACTTCAGGTAAAGCCTTCTCTGGGGTTACTTCCTTCTCTGTCTTTTAATGCCACTAGGACCAGCTTGAGAGTCACTGGACCCCTGTCTCACAAAATAACTGTCCACAGTCCTCTGTTTCTGGCGCCTTTTTAACATTTCCCTAAAATGGGACATGGTTCTGTCACTGAACTTATTGCAAAGATGGCTTGTTTCAGCTTGCTCAGGTTGGTACTTCTGCACAAACATTTGGACATCATTCCATTTGGCACAAATCTCCTTAATCTTTGAAGAAGGCACCTCATCCACTCCCTCTTCCTCCTCCTCTGAAGCAAGTTCCTCAGCTGTGGTCTGATACTGCTCCAGATGAAGCTCTTGCAGCTCTTCAGTGGTTAGCTCTTCCCTGTGGTCCTCCACCAACCAACTGGCTGCCTCACCATGTCTTACAACATTGTGTATGCCACTACGCTTCTTAAATCTGTCAAACCAGCCTCTGCTGGCCTTAAATTCACTATCAGCACTGGTTCCAGGAGTTTTCTGTACCAGATCGGCATGCAACTTCCTTGCCTTTTCGCAAATAATCATCTCTGAAACACTATCACCTGCAATCTCTTTATCCTTGATCCACACCAGCAACAACTTCTCAACCTCTTCAACTATTTGTGGTCTTTTTTTGGTTAGCATATTAACACCTTTCGCAACATCAGCTTCCTTGATTTGTTCTTTCTTTGACAGGATAGAACCGATGGTCGACTTGTTTTTCCCATACTTCCTGGCAAGCTCAACAAGTCTCACACCACTCTCATACTTCTGTATTATTTCATTCTTCACATCTATGGTGTTTCTCACTTTCTTTACCACATGGGTACCACTAGCAAGCTTCTTTGAGCCCATGGCAGCTTATTTCACATTCTCACAAGCACTAAACACAGCGAAATAATAGTAAAATGCGTGAATGAGAGCGCAGGTTAGTGTTCACTCAAGCATAAACAAAGCTAGACTGCTCACAGCGCCTGCGCGGGGACGCGGACAGGGTGGGCGGCAGACAGGTCCCGTACCTGGTGGTCTGAAAATAGGGGCACGTTCGATAATAGGGACACAGTTTGTCCAAAAAATGGTCCTATTTTCGAAAGGTTCGATATGTAATATGTTCAATTTTTGAGGTTCCACTGTAGTAGTACATACGTATTATAATAATTATTATTATTATTATAGGTAGTAGGTTGGTAGACAGCAACCACCCAGGGAAGTACTACTGTCCTGCCAGATGACTGTGAAACAAAAACCTGTAACTGTTTTGCATGATGGTAGGATTGCTGGTTTCTTTTTCTGTCTCATAAACACGCTAGATAACAGGGATATCTTGCTACTCCTACTTTCACTTTGGTCACACTTCACAAAACACCGCACAATGCATATATATATTACAAAACCCTCTAGGTTTTTCTCCCCTTTTTTTAAATAGCTCTTGTTCTTTTTTATTTTTTCTATTGTCCATGGGGAAGTGGAAAGAATCTTTCCTCCGTAAGCATGCGTGTCGTATGAGGCGACTAAAATGCCGGGAGCAATGGGCTAGTAAAACCCCTTCTCCTGTATACATTTACTAAAAAAGAGAAGAAGAAAAACTTTATAAAACTGGGTGCTTAAATGGCGGGATGTGTGCGGATGACAAGAAACAGATGATTGCTGATGTTATGAATGAAAAGAAGTTGGATGTCCTGGCTCTAAGCGAAACAAAGCTGAAGGGGGTAGGAGAGTTTCAGTGGGGGGAAATAAATGGGATTAAATCTGGAGTATCTGAGAGAGTTAGAGCAAGGAAGGGTAGCAGTAATGTTAAATGATCAGTTATGGAAGGAGAAAAGAGAATATGAATGTGTAAATTCAAGAATTATTGTGGATTAAAGTAAAGGTTGGATGCGAGAAGTGGGTCATAATAAGCGTTGTATTGCACCTGGAGAAGAGAGGAATGCAGAGGAGAGAGAGAGATTTTGGAGATGTTAGTGAATGTATAGGAGCCTTTGAACCAAGTGAGAGAGTATTGTGGTAGGGACCTGAATGCTAAAGTAGGAGAAACTTTTAGAGAGGGTGTGGTAGGTAAGTTTGGGGTGCCAGGTGTAAATGATAATGGGAGCCCTTTGATTGAACTTTGTATAGAAAGGGGTTTTAGTTATAGGTAATACATATTTTAAGAAAAAGAGGATAAATAAGTATACAAGATATGATGTAGGGCGAAATGACAGTAGTTTGTTGGATTATGTATTGGTAGATAAAAGACTGTTGAGTAGACTTCAGGATGTACATGTTTATAGAGGGGCCACAGATATATCAGATCACTTTCTAGTTGTAGCTACACTGAGAGTAAAAGGTAGATGGGATACAAGGAGAATAGAAGCATCAGGGAAGAGAGAGGTGAAGGTTTATAAACTAAAAAGAGGAGGCAGTTAGGGTAAGATATAAACAGCTATTGGAGGATAGATGGGCTAATGAGAGCATAGGCAATGGGGTCGAAGAGGTATGGGTAGTGTTTTAAAAATGTAGTGTTAGAGTGTTCAGCAGAAGTTTGTGGTTACAGGAAAGTGGGTGCAGGAGGGAAGAGGAGCGATTGGTGGAATGATGATGTTAAAGAGAGTAGTAAGGGAGAAAAAGTTAGCATATGAGAATTTTTTACAAAGTAGAAGTGATGCAAGGAGGGAAGAGTATATGGAGAAAAAGAGAGAAGTTAAGAGAGTGGTGAAGCAATGTAAAAAGAGAGCAAATGAGAGAGTGGGTGAGATGTTATCAACAAATTTGTTGAAAATAAGAAAAAGTTTTGAGAGTGAGATTAACAAGTTAAGAAAGCCTAGAGAACAAATGGATTTGTCAGTTAAAAATAGGAGAGGAGAGTTATTAAATGGAGAGTTAGAGGTATTGGGAAGATGGAAGGAATATTTTGAGGAATTGTTAAATGTTGATGAAGATAGGAAGCTGTGATTTCGTGTATAGGGCAAGGAGGAATAACATCTTGTAGGAGTGAGGAAGAGCCAGTTGTGAGTGTGGGGAAGTTCGTGAGGCAGTAGGTAAAATGAAAGGGGGTAAGGCAGCCGGGATTGATGGGATAAAGATAGAAA